ATTTTTGTGAAGGTAATAAGACAAAATAAAAATTCTGATCAGTACTTACCGAGATACAGTGCCGAGAAGTTTGCCCAAAATGACCGGGTGGCGGCAACATTGACGATTTCCACATACGCGCATTACTTTATTTAACGTTTTTTGTAGTTTTTTCTTTTCTTTTCTAATTTTTTTCTTTTCCTACTAACATTTGGGGCCTGAGAGACCAATACTGTATATAATGTATATATATATAAACTCACTGTATTGAACACAATAACTGCACTAAAGTTATTGTCATATTGTTTACCACTTTTGTTTATTACAATAAACATGCACAAATCTTGTATAATACTAATGTTCTATCATATATTTACATATTTACAATCACTGGACATGGTTTTAGAACTGCTGGAGCTTGTGAAACTCCTTGAAACAAGGCACCATGCACAGAGGTACCTTACATTCCTCGCACATAAACCGAGTGTCTTTGCGTCTTTGTTGCCGTCGTTTTGTTTGTGCACAAACAATGCATCTCTTCTGAGCAAATTTCTTCTTAGTTGCAGGAAGCTGTATTATGAAATGATCACCTTCCCTCCTCAAACGCTTGGGTATATTCTCAGGAATTCGAGGACCTTGTTGTATAGCAGGTGTTGTTACCTGGTACTTCATTATGAGTTGTCTGACAACAGACAAACAAAATTCACCATACGGTGGTCTGTTGCCAGTCTTCATTTGGTACATATTATATTCATTGAGCATTGAAATGTCCATGAGATGGAAGAAAAGTTTCATGTACCACTTGTAACTCTTACGAACACAATCAACAAAGCCAATCTGCATGTCACATTTGTCAATCAAGCACATGTTTTGTGTATAATCAATCACTGTCACTGGTTTTCGAATATGTTTATTAGTCACTCGATCAACTTTGCCACTGTCTTGCATTTCGTTACGGTGAATGGTTGTCAACAATGTGACATCTCATTTGTCATGCCACCATAATGCCATGATGTCTTTGGCAGTAAACACCTGCACGTCATCACCACGAGCACCTGCATTGAACCTGGGCATTTACAGTGGACCCCCGCATAATGATCACCTCCGAATGCGACCAATTATGTAAGTGTATTTATGTAAGTGCGTTTGTACGTGTATGTTTGGGGGTCTGAAATGGACTAATCTACTTCACAATATTCCTTATGGGAACAAATTAGGTCAGTACTGGCACCTGAACATACTTCTGGAGTGAAAAAATATTAACCGGGGGTCCACTGTATTTACGATTAGAACGCACTGTGCCACACACATCTGTCATGTTCACTCGCAAGAAATCACTGAGTAAAGGGCTTGTGTACCAGTTATCGGGTTATCGGTATATAATGTATGCCCCATACCAAGATAAGGTGCCATCATGCTTCTCAATACGTCACCTGAGATACCCAATAACATCTTGGTATCTTTCAATGTTTCACATCCAGTGTATACAACAGTATTACAACAGTGTATCCAATACCAGGCCACTGTCACAGTCACAGAGTACAAACAGTTTTATACCAAAGCGTTTCCTCTTGCTCGGTATATATTGCTTGAATGACAGCCTACCTTTGAACAAAATCAAAGACTCGTCAATTACAAGATTCTTGAATGGATAAAAGTACATGTTGAACTTTTGTTTGAGATACATAAAAACATTTCTAATCTTGTATAACCTGTCACTTCTGTCAGGCCTGGTTTTGTCAGAGAAGTGCAACATAGGTAACAGTAAGATAAACCTGTTCACTGGGATGATTTCACTGAAGATCGGGGTAGAAATTAGCCGATCTGTGGACCAGTATGCTTTTATATTATGCTTATAGACATGAGGCATAAGCATTATTGTTGCAAAAGGCAAATACATTTCTGCAACAGTCGTCTCTTTCCATCAGTGTAGTCTTGACTGTGGTGATATGATGGTATTTGCCATGGTGTACTCAGAATACTTGTTACTTTCCCTGACAATAGTTTCCATCAAGGGCTGGTCAAATAATATTTCAAAAAATTCCAGTTCATTGTGTGGTTCCAAGGGGACAAGTAGGTAGAATTCCACTTTGAGAGTCATCAAAGTGGTGGGGCTTGGGAACAAAATTGGGATTTTGCTGCCAATCCCAGATACGATTTGCTGGTGGATACTGGACATCATAGGCTGGTTGTGCAGGTAGTTGTGGTTGTGGTGGGCTGGTGGCTGACGCTCCACTTTGTCCTTGAACAGAGGAGTCAGCATCGTGGGTCCCAGCCTGGGCTGGTGAGTCACGCATGGATGTGGCACTACCATCACCACTACCACCATCTACTGATGCCTGTGGTCTATCCATGCCAAGTTTAGCCACATCATCCTCATTTTCACTGTCTATTCCTGGTGTAGGGCCATGGGATATACTCCGGGATGTACTCCGTCCCCTGGGCACAGCATAGGGTACACTACCCGAGTGCATGCAGTGGCGTACATACCGACGCTTCACTGGTGAATGTGTTTCCTCACTATCACTACTCGAATGATCATCAAGAGCAATAAAATCACAATCCACATCACTATTATCATCATTACTGATATCAGAAGCCTGGCCACTCGAAAATAACAGTTTTCTCTTGCGATGAGGTACAACTGACCGTGACTGAGGAGTGCCCACACCAGAGGTAGAAGGTTGAGGATCGTCAGGGTTTTCTGACACATGACACAGATTCTGCTTCTGACTCTCGCCTCGGCAGGTCATAGCAGCTCTCCTTACTTGTTCAGTCTCTCTATGATACCCGTTGGGGAGGGGAACCTCTACTATCTCCACGATGTCTCATCATGTGAGAATTAAGCCAAAGTCTACTGTCGTTGACGACACCCTGAAGCTCGAGCTTGCAACCTCACTCAACACTTGTCTTCACGCCAAGTTCTCCAAGATTACTTCACTGAAAGAAGCCTTCATCGTCACTTTTCTCGATGATGCTGAAGCTGACAAAGTACTTACACCTACAGCCATGAAGACATTAGAAGACCGTGGTTTTACCATCTCCACATCACCATACATGCGTGCAAAATGCTCTGTGTTCATGAAACGCCTTGACAGGCTAATCACGAACATGTCTATCGAGGAAATTACGTCATCACTTGAAGACCTCAACACTTGGGCCAAGATTAACTCTGTTGTGAAGATCCCCAACGCTTCCACGATGCTCAAGGTCACGTTTTTAGATGTTACCATGGCAATCAGAGCACTGTCTGATGGCCTGGCCATCTCTTACTACGTCATCAACCCTCGACAGATTGAGCCTGAATGACTCGTTTACATAACACCTTGTTGGACATGTTACTCGTACAATCACTCTACTGCGAATGCCACGTGAAGAATAAGAAGATATGTTCCACTTGTGGGTCTGCAGATCACGACTTTCTTTCTTGCACTTCCACTGCTGCTCCCACCTGCATAAACTGTAAGAGTGACCACCATACTCTTGCAGCCAAATGTCCAGTACGCAAGGATATCCTCTCTAAGAAACTGAAAGAAGAAACTAAGAAGTCTACAGGAAACTCTCCTTCTTATGCTACTATAGCTAAGCTTCAGACGACCACCACCAAGATTCTACAAGCTACTCAGCATCCTCCACCACTCACAGCCTCTCCTCTACCAGACGATATTTCCACAAAATTCTACTACTGCCTGATGTATGCACACATGCAAAATGCAGCTAACTCGGGTTGTTTCAATACAACTATGAATTATATTCTTGCCCTCAACAATCTGCCATCATTCAACTTCCCAGCTAGTCCTGCTTCAGCCGATGTTTTGAAGATTATCCCAAAAATCGTTAGTTTCGAGGCACCAGATGACTTGCAAGATTTGATTTCTGCAGAAGCCATCTGCTCTACTTCGCAATCCTCCAATGAGAGACCACCACTTCTTCCAGCCACTGCCACTGCCAAGAACCAATCAGAGCCTTCAATGCCTCACATGCCTCCACCTTCCTCCACTTGTTGCTCACTCTAAGGATAAACAATGCTATAATACGATACGTGGAGTCACTTTCTTCACTACTCCTGAGAATCCTAAAGAAATGGATGCAAAGACATTGATCCCCCTGCTCCAGAGTGACAAAGTCAAGTTCGTCTGCAGACCATCACGTGCTCTCTTCCTTAGAGAACTCATCAATCTCCTTAATGCTCCAGAGATCGACCCAGACCACAAATTTTAACTCATACTCATGCAAAAACCGTCGTTCCAGAATCTTTCTAATGGGTCAATAGCTTAACACACTTCAAGCCGACCTCCACCAATACAACTCATCCTGCTTGCTGCCTTCTGACACTCCCAGCTCCTGCCACTGCCTTCGCTATCCTCTCCTAGTGAGCCAAGTACCGACATCATCCAAGCCTCTCCATCTACGCCTCCAGTACTTCGGTACCACATGTCCCAAAGTGGTTGGGCCACTTGCCTTGATTCCTCCTCTTCCCCTCCTTCCCATCCTTTTCCAGTTATTTCCATCCTTCCTTATCCTTCTTCCTTCCCATCTTATGACAGCTCTCGTCATCTTCTTCAATTCGATTCGATTCAGAGTTTTCTGCGCTATAATTGATATCCTGGTCATTCCTTTCGGTCACTAACTGATCAAAGCCAAAGAATTCGTCTTCATTTCCACTTCCATCAGAGTCAAAACTATCAGAAAGGAAGAGGAGTGTCCCAGTTTTCCTTGGAGTGAGAGCTGCCTTGCGATGAGGCATGGTGAACAAAGGTAACTGAGCCTGTTTTCCCACAATGCTATGCGGGCGCCTAGAATTTTTGTCTACGGTGCACACCCACCATGCAGACCTGTTCTCTCACATGTAGGCCTATGAGCATTTTCACGCTAAATTTGACGCCTCTAGAATTTTGGCGTGGATCTACGGTTTGGACCCTGAACGTGAAACCGTAGATCTACGGGACGGACCCTGAGAGAGTTAATTGGTGATTGGCTATATAGATTGTTTGTATAATAAATGTTCATGTTTCAGCTTAAGCAAACACTACTTGATACACTGAAGCCACACATGGAGGCCCAAGAACTGAAGAAACCTCAGCTGACCATCCAGTTTGTGAGCTCTGGCATGACAGCCAGACAAGCTAATGAGAATGTGTTGCCACTGCTCATGAGTGCTTGTCCACTCACTTTTTCTACTGTCAAGTATTTTGAGGTATGTTATTTTTTCATGTATACTGGAGAGCTCAAACTATATAATAAGTGATGTACAGGTGATGCTTAATTTAGGAACACCCTAGTTACCATGATCCACAATGATAAAAGTCCAAAAGATAATATTTGAAAAAATAATTGTTTTTTAAATGCCTATTTGCGGCTATTAACTCGTGTGATGCATATTTATCCTTTGCACCATCATTTAATCTTGAATAATAGGTTCAGGCTGACAAACAACTTGTTTATAAGTTGAATTAATAGAAACATTACTAGTGCTTTGAGAAACCTGTGTGCTCTTAAAAATCTTTATTCAAAAAAATAAATAAAAATTAAAAACTTTATTTCTTTATTAAGGTTACAATGTGTGTTTACATTTCATAATTTGATTGGTACAAATAAAGCCACTATCATGCTGAGGCATTTCAGCCAGACTTAACCTAGTACTTATAGACTACTTAAGTCTAGACAGGTGAAGAGTGGTAGACAGCAACCACCCAGGGAAGTACTACCGTCCTGCCAGATGATTGTGAAACAGAAACCTGTAACTTTTTGCATGATGGTAGGATTGCTGGTTTCTTTTTCTGTCTCATAAACATGCTAGATAACAGGGATATCTTGCTACTCCTACTTACACTTTGGTCACACTTCACAGACACGCACATGCATATATATATATATACATACATCTAGGTTTTTCTCCTTTTTCTACATAGCTCTTGTTCTTCTTTATTTCTTCTATTGTCCATGGGGAAGTGGAAAACAATTTTTCCTCCGGAAGCCATGTGTGTCGTATGAGGCGACTAAAATGCCGGGAGCAATGGGCTAGTAACCCCTTCTCCTGTAGACATTTACTAAAAAAGAGAAGAAGAAAAACTTTATAAAACTGGGATGCTTGAATGTGCGTGGATGTGGTGCAGATGACAAGAAACAGATGATTGCTGATGTTATGAATGAAAAGAAGTTGGATGTCCTGGCCCTAAGTGAAACAAAGCTGAAGGGGGTAGGGGAGTTTCGGTGGGGGGAAATAAATGGGATTAAATCTGGAGTATCTGAGAGAGAGTAGAGCAAAAGAAGGGTAGCAGTAATGTTGAATGATCAGTTATGGAGGGAGAAAAGAGAATATGAATGTGTGAGTGCAAGAATTATGTGGATTAAAGTAAAAGTTGGATGCGAGAAGTGGGTCATAATAAGCGTGTATGCACCTGGAGAAGAGAGGAATGCAGAGGAGAGAGAGAGATTTTGGGACATGTTAAGTGATGTATAGGAGCCTTTGAACGAAGTGAGAGAGTAATTGTGGTAGGGGACCTGAATGCTAAAGTAGGAGAAACTTTTAGAGAGGGTGTGGTAGGTAAGTTTGGGGTGCCAGGTGTAAATGATAATGGGAGCCCTTTGATTGAACTTTGTATAGAAAGGGGTTTAGTTATAGGTAATACATATTTTAAAAAAAGAGGATAAATAAGTATACAAGATATGATGTAGGGCGAAATGACAGTAGTTTGTTGGATTATGTATGGTAGATAAAAGACTGTTGAGTAGACTTCACGATGTACATGTTTATAGAGGGGCCACAGATATATCAGATCACATTCTAGTTGTAGCTACACTGAGAGTAAAAGGTAGATGGGATACAAGGAGAATAGAAGCATCAGGGAGAGAGAGGTGAAGGTTATAAACTAAAAGAGGAGGCAGTTAGGGTAAGATATAAACAGCTATTGGAGGATAGATGGGCTAATGAGAGCATAGGCAATGGGGTTGAATAGGTATGGGGTAGGTTTAAAAATGTAGTGTTAGAGTGTTCAGCAGAAGTTTGTGGTTACAGGAAGTGGTGCGGGAGGAAGAGGAGCGATTGGTGGAATGATGATGTAAAGGAGAAAAAGTTAGCATATGAGAAGTTTTTACAAAGTAGAAGTGATGCAAGGAGGGAAGAGTATATGGAGAAAAGAGATTGGTTAAGAGAATGGTGAAGCAATGTAAAAAGAGAGCAAATGAGAGAGTGGGTGAGATGTTATCAACAAATTTGTGAAATAAGAAAAAGTTTTCGAGTGAGATTAACAAGTTAAGGAAGCCTAGAGAACTAATGGATTTGTCAGTTAAAATAGGAGAGGAGAGTTATTAAAGGGAGGTTAGAGGTATTGGGAAGATGGAGGGAATATTTTGAGGAATTGTTAAATGTTGATGAAGATAGGGAAGCTGTGATTTCGGTATAGGGCAAGGAGGAAAAACCCATCTTGCAGGAGTGAGGAAGAGCCAGTTGTGAGTGTGGGGGAAGTTCGTGAGGCAGTAGGTAAAATGAAAGGGGGTAAGGCAGCCGGGTTTGATGGGATAAAGATAGAAATGTTAAAAGCAGGTGGGGATATAGTTTGGAGTGGTTTGGTGCAATTATTTAATAAATGTATGGAAGAGGGTAAGGGTACCTAGGGATTGGCAGAGAGCATGAAATAGTTTCTTTGTAAAAAGGCAAAGGGGACAAAAGAGAGTGCAAAAATTATAGGGGGTAAGTCTGTTGAGTATACCTGGTAAAGGTATGGTAGAGTTATTTTTGAAAGAATTAAGAGTAAGATGGAGAATAGGATAGCGGAGAACAAGGAGGCTTTAGGAAAGGTAGGGGGTGTGTGGACCAGGTGTTTACAGTGAAAACATATAAGTGAACAGTATTTAGATAGGCTAAAGAGGTTTTTGTGGCATTTATGGATTTGGAAAAGGCGTATGACAGGGTGGATAGGGGGGCAATGTGGCAGATGTTGCAGGTGTATTTGGGGTAGGAGGTAGGTTACTGAAAGCAGTGAAGAGTTTTTACGAGGATAGTGAGGTCAAGTTAGAGTATGTAGAAAAGAGGGAAATTATTTCCCAGTAAAAGTAGGCCTAGACAAGGATGTGTGATGTCACCGTGGTTGTTTAATATATTTAAGATGGGGTTGTAAGAGAAGTAAATGCGAGGGGCTTGACAAGAGGCGTGGAGTTAAAAGTAAAGAATCAAACATAAGTGGGATTGTCACAGTTGCTCTTTCTGATGAAAACTGTGCTTTGGGAGATTTAAAGAAGTTTTCAGAGATTGGGATGAATTTGGTAGGGTGTCAAAAAAGAAAATTTAAAAATGAATACAGGAAAAAGTAAAGGTTAGAGGAAAAAAATTTTGGTGATGAAAGTTTGGGTATCAGATTGGAGGGAGAGAGTAGGAGGGGGAATGTATTAGATATTTGGAGTGGAGTGTAGCGGATGGGTCTATGAAGGAGAGGTGAATATTAAATTGTGAGGTAAAAAGGGTGAGTGGTGCATTAGGAGCTGTGGGGACAAAGAACTTTTTTTGGAGGCAAAAAAGGGGTGATGAGATATTTTTTTACCAACGCTTTTAGGGTGGAAAAATGGGTGTAATGTTTTCAGCAGGAGAAGGGTGGAGGCAGTGGAAGTCATTCTGGGCAATTGTGGGGGAAAATAAAGCAAAATTTTGTATTTTGGGAAATTAGGAGGGGTGGGGATTACCAAAATTTGTCCGGGCTAGGAAGGGTTTTTTGAGGGGTTTAGACGAGAGGAATGGAGCGAAACAAATGACTTAGAGGTATCAGTCTGTAGGGGAAGGAAAGGGGGGTAGGGGGGCGGCCTAGGAAAGGTTTGGAGGGAGGGGGAAAAAGGGGGTTTTGTGTGCGAGGGGGTTGGACTTCCCAGGGGTGCGTGAGCGTGTTTGATGGGGTGAATGGAGACAATGTTTTTAAAAATTACGTGCTGTTGGAGTGTGAGCAAAGTAACATTTATGAAGGGGTTCAGGGAAAAAAAACCGGGAGGCCGACTTGAGTCCTGGGGTGGGGAAATACAGTGCCTGCCTCTGAAGGAGGGGGTTTTTAAGTTGCGTTTTAAAAAAAGTAGTGTAAAGCACCCTTCTGCAAGACATGATGGATGAATGATGGTGAAAGTTTTTTTTTTTTGGCCCACCCCGCCTTGGGGGAATCGGGCCCGTTGATAATAAATAAATTAATATGGGGTAGTACAATTATGAACAAACATACATTTTTAAGTTTTTAAAATGGTTAAAAGATAAGGGGAAATAAAATATTTGGGAGAGTTGCTTTTAAATTTGGTTAGAGTTAAGCATAGTGTGGATATGGTTGTTATTAGGAGATAAGGTGGTGTGGGTAGGTATTTGCTTGGATAAAATGGAACAGACAGCTGTATGAGAAGAAGGTTAAAAATATTTCTTCTTTTATAGAATTATGAAGTTTTTTTTTTTTTCAACAAACCAGCCGTATCCCACCGAAGCAGGGTGGCCCAAAAACAAAAACAAAAGTTTCTCTTTTTAAATTTAGTAATTTATACAGCAGAAAGGGTTACTAGCCCCTTGATCCCAACATTTTAGTCACTTCTTACAGCACACGGCTTACAGAGAAAGAATTCTGTTCCACTTCCCCATGGAGATAAGAGGAAATAAACAAGAACAAGAACTAGTAAGAAAATAGATGAAAACCCAGAGTGGTATGTATGTATATATATGCTTGTACATGCATATGTACGGATGACAAGAAACAGATGATAGCTGATGTTATGAATGAAAAGTAGTTGGATGTCCTGGCCCTAAGCGAAACAAAGCTGAAGGGGGTAGGGGAATTTCGGTGGGGGGAAATAAATGGGATTAAATCTGGAGTATCTGAGAGAGTTAGAGTTAAGGAAGGGGTAGCAGTAATGTTGAAGGATCAGTTATGGAAGGAGAAAAGAGAATATGAATGTGCAAATTCAAGAATTATGTGGATCAAAGTAAAGGTTGGATGTGAAAAGTGGGTCATAATAAGCATGTATGCACCTGGAGAAGAGAGGAATGTAGAGGAGAGAGAGAGATTTTGGGAGATGTTAAGTGAATGTATAGGAACCTTTGAACCAAGTAATTATGGTAGGGGACCTGAATACTAAAGTAGGAGAAACTTTTAGAGAGGGTGTGGTAGGTAAGTTTGGGGTGCCAGGTGTAAATGATAGTGGGAGCCCTTTGATTGAACTTTATATAGAAAGGGGTTTAGTTATAGGTAATACATATTTTAAGAAAAAGAGGATAAATAAGTATACAAGATATGATGTAGGGCAAAATGACAGTAGTTTGTTGGATTATGTATTGGTAGATAAAAGACTGTTGAGTAGACTTCAGGATGTACATGTTTATAGAGGGGCCACAGATATATCAGATCACTTTTTAGTTGTAGCTACACTGAGAGTAAAAGGTAGATGGGATACAAGGAGAATAGAAGCATCAGGGAAGAGAGAGATGAAGGTTTATAAACTAAAAGAGGAGGCAGTTAGGGTAAGATATAAACAGCTATTGGAGGATAGATGGGCTAATGAGAGCATAGGCAATGGGGTCGAAGAGGTATGGCGTAGGTTTAAAAATGTAGTGTTAGAGTTCAGCAGAAGTTTGTAGTTACAGGAAGGTGGGTGCAGGAGGGAAGAGGAGCGATTTGTGGAATGATGATGTAAAGAGAGTAGTAAGGGAGAAAAAGATAGCATATGAGAAGTTTCTACAAAGTAGAAGTGATGCATGGAGGGAAGAGTATATGGAGAAAAAGAGAGAGGTTAAGAGAGTGGTGAAACAATGTAAAAAGAGAGCAAATGAGAGAGTGGGTGAGATGTTATCAACAAATTTTGTTGAAAATAAGAAAAAGTTTTGGAGTGAGATTAACAAGTTAAGGAAGCCTAGAGAACAAATGGATTTGTCAGTTAAAAATAGGAGAGGAGAGTTATTAAATAGAGAGTTAGAGGTATTGGGAAAATGGAGGGAATATTTTGAGGAATTGTTAAATGTTGATGAAGATAGGGAAGCTGTGATTTCATGTATAGGGCAAGGAGGAATAACATCTTGTAGAGTGAGGAAGAGCCAGTTGTGAGTGTGGGGGAAGTTCGTGAGGCAGTAAGTAAAATGAAAGGGGGTAAGGCAGCCGGGATTGATTGGATAAAGATAGAAATGTTAAAAGCAGGTGTGGATATAGTTTTGGAGTGGTTGGTGCAATTATTTAATAAATGTATGGAAGAGGGTAAGGTACCTAGGGATTGGCAGAGAGCATGCATAGTTTCTTTGTATAAAGGCAAAGGGGGGCAAAAGAGAGTGCAGAAATTATAGGGGGATAAGTCTGTTGAGTATACCTGGTAAAGTGTATGGTAGAGTTATTATTGAAAGAATTAAGAGTAAGATGGAGAATAGGATAGCGGATGAACAAGGAGGCTTTAGGAAAGGTAGGGGGTGTGTGGACCAGGTGTTTACAGTGAAACATACAAGTGAACAGCATTTAGATAAGGCTAAAGAGGTTTTTGTGGCATTTATGGATTTGGAAAAGGCATATGACAGGGTGGATAGGGGGGCATTGTGGCAGATGTTGCAGGTGTATGGTGTAGGAGGTAGGTTACTGAAAGCAGTGAAGAGTTTTTACGAGGATAGTGAGGCTCAAGTTAGAGTATGTAGGAAAGAGGGAGATTATTTCCCAGTAAAAGTAGGCCTTAGACAAGGATGTGTGATGTCACCATGGTTGTTTAATATATTTATAGATGGGGTTGTAAGAGAAGTAAATGCGAGGGTCTTGGCAAGAGGCATGGAGTTAAAAGATAAAGAATCACACACAAAGTGGAAGTTGTCACAGTTGCTCTTTGCTGATGACACTGTGCTCTGGGAGATTCTCAAGAGAAGTTGCAGAGGTTGGTGGATGAATTTGGTAGGGTATGCAAAAGAAGAAAATTAAAAGTGAATGCAGGAAAGAGCGAGGTTATGAGGATAACAAAAAGATTAGGTGATGAAAGATTGTATATCAGATTGGAGGGAGAGAGTATGGAGGAGGTGAATGTATTCAGATATTTGGGAGTGGACGTGTCAGTGGATGGGTCTATGAAAGATGAGGTGAATCATAGAATTGATGAGGGGAAAAGGGTGAGCGGTGCGCTTAGGATTCTCTGGAGACAAAGAACTTTGTCCTTGGAGGCAAAGAAGGAAATGTATGAGAGTATAGTTTTACCAACGCTCTTATATGGGTGTGAAGCATGAGTGATGAATGTTGCAGCGAGGAGAAGGCTGGAGGCAGCGGAGATGTCATGTCTGAGGGCAAGGTATGGTGTGAACATAATGCAGAGAATTCGTAGTTTGGAAGTTAGTAGGAGGTGCGGGATTACCAAAACTGTTGTCCAGAGGGCTGAGGAAGGGTTGTTGAGGTGGTTCGGACATGTAGAGAGAATGGAGTGAAACAGAATGACTTCAACAGTGTATCAGTGTGTGGTGGAAGGAAGGCGGGGTAGGGGTCAGCCTAGGAAAGGTTGTAGGGAGGGGGTAAAGGAGGTTTTGTGTGCGAGGGGCTTGGACTTCCAGCAGGCATGCGTGAGGGTATTTAGTAGGAGTGAATGGAGACAAATGGTTTTTAATACTTGACGTGCTGTTGGAGTGTGAGCAAAGTAACATTTATGAAGGGATTCAGGGAAACCGACAGGCTGGACTTGAGTCCTGGAGATGAGAAGTACAGTGCCTGCACTCTGAAGGAGGGGTGTTAATGTTGCAGTTTAAAAACTGTAGTGTAAAGCACCCTTCTGGCAAGACAGTGATGGAGTGAATGATGGTGAAAATTTTTCTTTTTCGGGCCACCCTGCCTTGGTGGGAATTGGCCAGTGTGTTAATAATAATAATAATAATAAAAAAATGCGTATGTAGTGTAACCTAAGTGTAAGTAGAAGTAGTAAGACGTACTCGAACTCTTGCATGTTTATGAGACAGAGAAAAGACACCAGCAATCCTTCCATCATGTAAAACAATTACAGGCTTCTTTTTTACACTCATTTGGCAGGACTGTAGTACCTCCCTGGGCGGTTGCTGTCTACCAACCTACTACCTAGATATTTACATCTTTCAGCAAATTGGCCATATCCCACCGAGGGTAGGGTGGCCCCCCAAAAAATGAAAGTTTCTCATTTTAAATTTAGTAATATGTACAGAAAAATAGGTTACCGGCCCCTTGCTCCCGGCATTTTAGTCGCCTCTTATGACACACATGGCTTATGGAGGAAGAATTCTTTTCCACTTCCAATTGGAGTTATGCTGAAATAAACAAGAACTAGTAAGAAAATAGAATAAAACCCTGAGGGTTGTTTATATATATATATATTTGTATATGCTGTAGGTAGTAGGTTGGTAAACAGCAACCACCCAGGGAGGTACTGCCGTCCTGCCAAGTGAGTGTACAACAAAAACCTGTAATTGTTTTACATGATGGTAGGATTGCTGGTGTCTTTTGTCTACCTCATAAACATGCAAGATTTCAGGTATGTCTTGCTACTTCTGTTTGCACTTAGGTCACACTACACATACATGTACAAGTGTATATATACACACCCCTCTGGGTATTCTTCTATTTTCTTTCTAGCTCTTGTTCTTGTTTGTTTCCTCTTATATCCATGGGGAAGTGGAACAGAATTCTTCCTCCGTAAGCCATGCGTGTTGTAAGAGGCGACTAAAATTCCGGGAGCAAGGGGCTAGTAACCCCTTCTCCCATATAAATTACTAAATTTAAAAGAGAAACTTACGTTTTTCTTTTTGGGCCACCCTGCCTTGGTGGATACGGCCGGTGTGTTGAAAGAAGAAAGATTTGTATATGCATGTGTGGTGTGACCTAAGTGTAAGTAGAAGTAGCAAGACGTACCTGAAATCTTGCATGTTTGAGACAGAAAAAAGACACTAGCAATCCATCATGTAAAACAATTGCAGTCTTCTGTTTTACACTCACTTGGCAGGACGGTAGTACCTTCCCGGGCGGTTACTGTCTACGAGCACAAAATTAGATATTTAGAATAATAAAAGGCCAGATCCAAATAGGATTTTTTTCCATTCCATCATAGAATCTATTCTGTTAAATTCCAGATTATCAAGTTCTTAATGTATTTTTCTTTCTTGTTATATTGTATCAGGCTCTGAAAACCTCGGCTATTGGTCGCCTTGTGATCTACTGTGATGTGATGACCTCGAGCATGAGAATAACAGCAGGACACCCTCCTCTTATTCATGGCATAGTTGTCTTACTGTCACAACAAACCCAGGGTCAAGGTAAACCTGCATAATACACTATTGTAGTTAACATTGACAGTAGCTTTATGTAATGATGTTAAAACTTAACATATGCAGAGATATAAGTATACTAATTAATGCATTAATTTTAGCTTTTTCTAATACAGTGGACCCCCGCATACCGTTGGCATCACATACCGTTTATTCCGCATACCACTCACTTTAATCGCAAAAATTTTGCCTCGCATACCGCTCAAAAACCCGCTCACCGCTGTTCGTCCGAGACGCGTCCAATGTGCGCCTTAGCCAGCCTCACATGTTCCGCCGGTGGCATTGTTTACCAGCCAGCCTCCGCGGTAGCATCCAAGCATACAATCATAACATTTCGTATTATTACAGTGTTTTTGGTGATTTTATCTGGAAAATAAGTGACCATGGGCCCCAAGAAAGCTTCTAGTGCCAACCCTACAGCAATAAGGGTGAGAATTACTATAGAGATGAAGAAAAAGATCATTGATAAGTATGAAAGTGGAGTGCATGTCTCCGAGCTGGCCAGGTTGTATAATGAACCCCAATCAACCATCGCTACTATTGGTGGTACAGCTGCTGCTGCTGCTGCTGCACTGTCAGCTGCTGCTGCTGCTGTAGCATCGTCTGCTGCTGCTGTAGCATCGTCTGCTGCTGCTGTAGCATCGTCTGCTGCTGCTGTAGTACTGTCAGCTGCTGCTGCTGCTGTAGCATCGTCTGCTGCTGCTGTAGCAACGTCTGCTGCTGCTGTAGCATCGTCTGCTGCTGCTGTAGCACTGTCAGCTGCTGCTGCTGCTGTAGCATCGTTCTGGCTGTGCTGTAGCAATCGTCTGGCTGTGCTGTAGACTGTCAGCTGCTGGGCTGCTGCGTAGCATACATCTGCTGCTGCTGTAAACATCGTCTGCTGGCTGCTGTATGCATGTCTGCTGGCTGCTGTAAGCATGTCTGCTGCTGCTGTAGCATCGTCTGCTGCTGCTGTAGCACTGTTGTTGGTGTGGCTTATTGAGAATATACCAAGAAACAATTAACCCCAGAGGATTTTCCACCCAGGATAAACCCAAAAAAGTCAGTGTCATCGAAGACTGTCTAACTTATTTCCATTGGGGTCCTTAATCTTGTCTCCCAGGATGCAACCCACACCAGTCGACTAACACCCAGGTGAACAGGGAAAAATGCCTGGAACTAGTGCTCATATTGGTGAATTTAAAGCCAGCAAAGGTTGGTTTGAGAGATTTAAGAATCGTAGTGACATACACAGTGTGATAAGGCCTGTTCTGGAAGAAAATGCCAAACAGGACCTACAGTACTCAGGAGGAAAAGGCACTCCCAGGACACAGTGTCTCATCAGCCATTGCTGCATCTTCAATAAAGGTAAGTGTCATTTATTCTTCATTTAGTAGACTAGTACATGCACAATATATACTGTGCATGTACTACTCTACTATTGTGCATGTATCCTTCTCTTTGTGTGTAGGAAAATGTATATTTCATGTGGTAAAAAAATTTTTTTCATACTTTTGGGTGTCTTGCACGGATTAATTTGATTTCCATTATTTCTTATGGGGAAAATTCATTCGCATACCGATTATTTCGCATACCAATGAGCCCTCTTGCACGGATTAAAATCGGTATGCGGGGGTCCACTGTATAGTACTTTTTTCACATTAATTTTTGTTTAATTATGCATATTAATTCTTAAAAATTAACCCTAATACCAGCTGCCAATTTTTTTACTTTAAAAACTTTAACACAAGCTTCTATTTTCACTGCCAGTCATGTTAAGGAAATAATGTCCCATAGCTAGAAATTTATAAGTACCAGATAATGTTGTTATTGCATTTGATGTACATGTGTAAAGATTAATAATTTTGTATATGGTTAATCAGAACAGCTCTGAGTAATTAAGTTTATATATGAGTAATCCATGGAAGTGTTCTCATACGACTACCGTGATTGTTTCTGCAGGTCGTGGTGGAAATACCTGGGTGTCTCCATTAGGCTGTGCCATGTTTACAACTCAGCTTCACATATCATTGTCCTCCAATCTAGGCCAACATCTTACCTTCCTGCAGCACCTTGTGGCTATAGCAATGGTTCAGGCTGTTAGAGAGCACCCAGGTTATGCTGACATTCCTATCCACCTCAAGTGGCCAAATGATATTTATATTGGCTCCAACATCAAGATAGGAGGAGTCATTGTTGAGGCAACTACAATTGGAAGTGAAATTATAGCTAATGTTGGTTAGTATTTTAAGTGTATTTCTTCTCTGTAAATGTTGTACATGTCAGTCATCACTAATCCGGCAATCAGTTATTAGGTTCCATCACCAATCCGGCAGTCAGTTATCTGGTTTCATCAGTAATCCAGTACTAAACCATACCCCCGGCCGGGATTGAACCCGCGGTCATAGAGTCTCAAAACTCCAGCCCGTCGCGTTAGCCACTAGACCAGCTAGCTGGTCTAGTGGCTAACGCGACGGGCTGGAGTTTTGAGACTCTATGACCGCGGGTTCAATCCCGGCCGGGGGTATGGTTTATTTGCAATCGTGTCATTACGATTTCTTGAGTCATCCAGTACTAATTTCGGCTAGCATGATTTCAAATTTCTGGGGTCACCACACCAACCTCTTGCTACTGTTTGGTGGTGCTACTTTCTGCATAAGTCATTTCAATTTCTTTTTCTCCATTTATTGTTGTAACCTGCTCACTTTTAGCCCTAGTCATGGTTCCAACGAATAAAAGAAATGCTTCTCATTGTGTATAGCACCTACACTGTACATTGTCCATAAAAGATAAGGTAGCTTTGAAGCCACTGTCAGTTACTATGAGCTCCTGAGTCTCGTGATGCAGGGGAATATGCTTTATTATTATGCTGATATCAACACTATGGCTTATTTACCTATTGCAATTGATCTAATATGACATAAACAATATAAATAGCATAAAACATGGTAAATACTCCAGATTGAATAATATTGGGCATAATACCGAGTGGTCCGACAGAGGTACGAAGTTACTGCTAGTAATAATAATAATAATAATAATAATAGAGGAGGAATAACATCTTGTAGGAGTGAGGAAGAGCCAGTTGTGAGTGTGGGGGAAGTTCGTGAGGCAGTAGATAAAATGAAAGGGGGTAAGGCAGCCGGGATTGATAGGATAAAGATAGAAATGTTAAAAGCAGGTGGGGATATAGTTTTGGAGTGGTTGGTGCAATTATTTAATAAATGTATGGAAGAGGGTAAGGTACCTAGGGATTGGCAGAGAGCATGCATAGTTCCTTTGTATAAAGGCAAAGGGGACAAAAGAGAGTGCAAAAATTATAGGGGGATAAGTCTGTTGAGTATACCTGGTAAAGTGTATGGTAGAGTTATTATTGAAAGAATTAAGAGTAAGACGGAGAATAGGATAGCAGATGAACAAGGTGGCTTTAGGAAAGGTAGGGGGTGTGTGGACCAGGTGTTTACAGTGAAACATGTAAGTGAACAGTATTTAGATAAGGCTAAAGAGGTTTTTGTGGCATTTATGAATCTGGAAAAGGCGTATGACAGGGTGGATAGGGGGGCAATGTGGCAGATGTTGCAGGTGTATGGTGTAGGAGGTAGGTTACTGAAAGCAGTGAAAAGTTTTTATGAGGATAGTGAGGCTCAAGTTAGAGTGTGTAGGAAAGAGGGAGATTATTTCCCAGTAAAAGTAGGCCTTAGACAAGGATGTGTGATGTCACTGTGGTTGTTTAATATATTTATAGATGGGGTTGTAAGAGAAGTAAATGCGAGGGTCTTGGCAAGAGGCGTGGAGTTAAAAGATAAAGAATCACACATAAAGTGGGAGTTGTCACAGTTGCTCTTTGCTGATGACACTGTGATCTTGGGAGATTCTGAAGAGAAGTTGCAGAGGTTGGTGGATCAATTTGGTAGGGTATGCAAAAGAAGAAAATTAAAAGTGAATGCAGGAAAGAGTAAGGTTATGAGGATAAAAAGATTAGGTGATGAAAGATTGGATATCAGATTGGAGGGAGAGAGTATGGAGGAGGTGAATGTATTCAGATATTTGGGAGTGGACATGTCAGTGGATGGGTCTATGAAAGATGAGGTGAATCATAGAATTGATGAGGGGAAAAGGGTGAGTGGTGCACTTAGAAGTCTGTGGAGACAAAGAACTTTGTCCTTGGAGGCAAAGAGGAGAATGTATGAGAGTATAGTTTTACCTACGCTCTTATATTGGTGTGAAGCATGAGTGATGAATGTTGCAGCGAGGAGAAGGCTGGAGGCAGTGGAGATGTCATGTCTGAGGGCAATGTGTAGTGTGAATATAATGCAGAGAATTCATAGTTTGGAAGTTAAGAGGAGGTGTGGGATTACCAAAACTGTTGTCCAGAGGGCTGAGGAGGGGTTGTTGAGGTGGTTCGGACATGTAGAGAGAATGGAGCGAAACAGAATGACTTCAAGAGTGTATCAGTCTGTAGTGGAAGGAAGGCGGGGTAGGGGTCGGCCTAGGAAAGGTTGGAGGGAGGGGGTAAAGGAGGTTTTGTGTGCGAGGGGCTTGGACTTCCAGCAGGCATGCGTGAGCGTGTTTGATAGGAGTGAATGGAGACAAATGGCTTTTAATACTTGACGTGCTGTTGGAGTGTGAGCAAAGTAACATTTATGAAGGGATTCAGGGAAACCGGCAGGCCGGACTTGAGTCCTGGAGATGGGAAGTACAGTGCCTGCACTCTGAAGGAGGGGTGTTAATGTTGCAGTTTAAAAACTGTGATATACGCTCGTTTTCGTTAATTATCTCGGAAGTAAGTTATTCATTCATATCTTAACATAGCGGCATTAATAATAATAGGAATGCAATTAATTTCACTGACAACATAAAAAAAAACCATAAAAGGACTCCAGTGGAATTAAGTCACTTAGATTTTTTTGGGTTATCTTAGGTTCTCTACACATATGCTGCTATGTCTAATAATCTATGTAACTGTAGTTGTTGTTTGTTTGGCTAACTTATTGAAACTTGGGCAATGTATGATGGAAGAGGCTTCTTAACATAAAGCATAAATGAAAGAAATTGGACAATAAATAAAAGAGTTCACTTCTCAGCTATTAGCCACCCCTGAGCGGTATATTTTCATATGATTTTTATGGTTGTATTCTCATTTTTTGGTCTCATTTGATAGAATGGAAGATATATTACAGAAATAGATATGATTTTGATTAGTTTCACAGTGAAAAGTACCTAGAAATTGAGCTCAGCTCAAAGTAGCAGAAATGTTCGATTCTTTGCCAGTGTTCAAGAGTAAAGGAATGACGTCACCGTCCAATACGTGTCCATTTGACCAGTCTAATACACAGTCACGAATGGGTTGACATTATTTATACAATTATTACAATAATGCAGTACTCTACATAACAGTAAATCATGTATTTTTTGTGTGAATAAAAAATCAAACTGGAAAGCAAGAGTAATATAAAAGGGGCCTGGAGACATGACTAATGAACAGAGAAAATGCTATTTTAGTTCCAGGAATGTCTGCATTGTTTATTCTGGATCCTATTTTGAAATTGGCATCTGTTGAAATTTGTGTGAAATTGGCCAAATTGCCAATATCTGACCAATTTTTTGGGTGGTTGAAATAGGTGAATGGGCAGTTTTTTGTACTCAGTTGACAGAATAGAATTAAGTAAGTTTATTCAGGTATACACAAATACAGTTACATAGATTATCATACATAGCAGCATATTTGTAGAGAACCTAGGATAACCCCAAAAAGTCAAAGTGACTTATTTCCATTGGAGTCCTTAAAGACTATCATGTTTTAATGCATAATAAACCAACTAGCCATTTTGTATAACAAGCCAGAAACAACAACAGATCTTGCAAGAACCCTTGCAAGATCTGTTCTTGCAAGACTTGCACTGAAGCAAAGGTTCACTGCAGCACTTGTATAAACCTTGCTGAATTTAAACAGCACTATGGAAGGAATACTAGTGAAATAGCTATGAGTTTGGTAGACTAGAGAAATGGAATGGGCCAAAAATGGGGTGTAAATTGGGTTAAATCGCCGATGCGTAAGTATCGCCGTTGGGCTAAGCGTATTCTAACCAAACCACTGTGTAATCTGGCATTCACTAATCCAGCACCCTACAGGTCCCAATGATGCCGAACTATTGATGGCTGACATGTATTTAATGTAGTTTTAACCCCTTGACTGTTGCAACCCCAAATCCTGAGGTGTCTCCTGGTGTTGCAACCCCCCCCCCCCCAATTATTTTTTCTTATGAAATGATAGAGAATCTTTTCCCAATTGTAATGACACCAAAAGAATGAAATTTGATAGAAAATTGATGGAATTACTCTTTCGCAAAGTTAGCGACCTCAGCAATATTTACGAATTGCTGATTTCACCCACTTTGAGCCCTATTTTCGGCTAATTCCATTATTCCAATCGACCAAACTCATAGCTATTTCTTTAGAACTCCATTTTTTCTATCGATTGAGTATAAGAAACTGCCCATTTACCGATTTCAACTACCCAATAATGTGGTCAGAAATTTGCAATTTGGCCAATTTCACAAAAATTAAAAAATATGACAATTTCAAAATAGGGTCCAGAATGAACAATGCAGACATTCCTGGCTCTAAAATAACATTTTCTTTGTTCATCAGTCACATCTTCAGGCCCCTCTGATATTACTCTTGCTTTCTATTTTAAATTTTCATTCAAACAAAAAATAGAAGATTTACTGTTATGCAGACTACTGCAATATTGTAATAATTGTATAAATAATGTCAACCCATTCATGACTGCATATTAGAATTGCTACTTGGACATTTATTGGAAAATGACATCATTTGTTTACTTTTAAACATTAGCAAAAATCAAACATTTCCCCTACTCTGAGCTCCATTTCAAGGTTTTTTCATAGTAAAACCAATCAAAATCACATCTATTTTTATAAGATGTTTTCCATTCTATCAAATGAGACCAAGAAAATGAGAATGCATCCATAAATACTATACGAAAATAGACCACAAATTCGGCATTTTAATTAAAAAAAGTCATTTTTTTTTTTCTCATTATGCACTGCGTGCTGCAGGATTTTTTTTATATGGTGCACACTGACCACACAGACCCATTCTCTCACATGTGGGCCTACCAGGTTTCTTCTGCTTGATTTGAAGCCGCTAGAATTTATGAGTATATATACGTCAAAAACGGTGGCTTGTAAGACGTATATATACGACCAAAACAGTCATAGGGTTAAAGTTTGCCTTTTTTCACATTGCGTAAGTGATAAACCTGATTTTGAAAGTTCTTAATCTGGCTGCTTTAGATGAGCCAATTTTTGTATAATTGATACTGAGCACCA